CACTGGCCCTGCCTCTCCCCGCAACCATGGCCACCTGCCACTCCCGACCTCTGGCTTTCTGTCCGGAACAGACCCAGGGCCTTGGCCCTTGCTGGTTCCTCTAGTGGGTCACCCTTTCCCCCACTGTTTCCATGCCTGGCCCTGCTCCTCCATCAGCCTTTAGCTGAGGCCTCCCTGACCCCATCGACCTCCAGGCTTCTCTTCACCTCCCCTCCATCCTCCTCAGCATCAGCCACTGTCTGTAATTGTTTATCCACATGCTGACGTGTTTATCTCTCCGCCTAACGTGGAAGTCCCCTGAGGGCAGGGACTGTGGCCTGTTCTCTGCTTTATTACCAGAGCTGGACACAGCACCTGGCACCTGGTGAGAGCTCCAAACCATCGGTTGAATGAATGAGTAAATAATAAAGCAACGAACATCCCAGGGACCATCTGTGCTATCAGACCTCCCAAACCAGCTCCCAAGTGGGCCCAGCTCTCTTGAGAGACAAAAGAAGCATTCTTCCCCCGAGTGAAACACCCCCACGTCATGCCCACACCAGGACTTCTCTCCGTCCACACCCCCTCCTCCTGCTGCCCCGGCCAGGAGGTCTCAGTCCTGACCACCTTTCTCTCTGGAAATGACCCAGCGCTCCTTGGCTCAGAAAACCAGAGCTCCACCCTGGAGGCGAGCAAGGTCACAGCCTCACATTTCAGGGGCCAGGTGGAGGGACCCTGAGCCCTCAGCATGGCTCTACCTCTGGCCATCAGCCTGGTCCTTCAGAACAAAAACAGGAAGACAGCAGAGGCCTCCGGGGCCTTGCCGCGGGCCCAGGAGCCTAGGTGAGGCCTGTCCAGCCAGAGACCCAACACAGGGAGGAAGCAGCAGGACAGGGACAGGGAGTTTGGGAAAAGACAGCTCTGCTCCCTGGCTCTGCAATCAGACAGTGGCCTGGCTTCAAACCCTGACTCCCACATCTCTATCTCAGAAGGCCACAGGGCTGCTACCAGTCTGAGCCTCAGTGTCCACAGCTATCAGAACAAATGTCACAGCTGCCATGTCTGGCTACATCTACCCACACTCCAATCGCCTAGGACCGTGGTCGGCAAACTGCGGCTCGCAAGCCACATGCGGCTCTTTGGCCCCTTGAGTGTGGCTCTTCCTAAGCCTTAGGAGTACCCTAATTAAGTTAATAACAATGTACCTACCTATATAGTTTAAGTTTAAAGAATTTGGCTCTCAAAATAAATTTCAATCATTGTACTGTTGATATTTGGCTCTGTTGACTAATGAGTTTGCCGACCACTGGCCTAGGATGAAGGAACCCCATATTCATATGGGCAAAATCCAGCCAGATATCAGTCACACTCAGTGGCTTTCTAAAAATAAATAAATAAATAAATACATGAATGAATACATCTGGGTTTCCCGGACGGTTCTGAGGCTGGGCCGTGCCAGCTGATTCGCATGCACTTCACTCTGGTAAGTGCAGGGCCACGCTGACTCTGGAGTTTAGCGAGCGCACGTCCACGGCAGCCATTCAATACGCAGTTTTTCAATGAATGAATCAAACGACAAGATGAGTTGTGTCTATAGTGATCCTAGTGATCAAGTCGGATAAACGAAAACCTTGTTTAGCAATTGGGACCCATCGCCAGGCACACATTCCCCTTGTCCTTTGATACCACAGACAGACATGTGGCAAGAACACACGTTTAGACCTTTGTCAAGCTCAGGACTTCGACACGGCTCCTTCTGAGGGAGGCCATGGGGGTCTGGGTAAGTGGAACATTAAACCTCTTTACATTTTTTTTGGAGATTATCTGTCCATTTCCTGGGGCTCATTCTTTCAAACTAGAACTCCTCCTCAGGAAAAAAAGAAAAAAAAAAAAAACCCAACTGAACAATCTTCATTCCATATGTTGGCTGTCACCAAATTTCTGCAAGGATATTTGGCAGAAGCACTCCTCTGTCAGTCTTGCTCCATAAATACTGAGCGAGGAAAAGCATTGCCTAAGACAGACCTGGCAGCGGAATCTGAGGAAACCTGTCAGTTCTGCGTCGCGTGTCCCTGGAGGCTCCTGGTGACTGTGAGTCTCTAGTTCTCTGCTGTCCTGCCTCAGCCTTTGCAGGCAAAGCACGGTTTCTTGGAGCTCCCCGCCCCCTCTCCGCTGGGGCAACACCTCAGGGCAAGGAAGGCTCTACCTGTAGAGTCCCATCTGGGTGCCTTTAATCTAAGGAAAGGCCTCCTAAAGCAAACGCTCAGAAAGGACAAGAAGGGGCTAGCTATTTCCTTTGCAGAAGAAGTGCCTCATTTTTTCTTGAACTCCATTTAACAGATGGGAAACCTGAGACCTAGAGAGCTTAAGGAATGTCACCAATTTAACACAGAAGAGGTGGAGCCAGGGTGTTTTTTGTTTGTTTGTTTGTCTTAAATGTATCTACAATGGACTTAATGTAAGAAAATGTGACTGGCACACAATTTGGCACATGTCCTTGAACAGGCAGAGTGTAGGATGCCTGAGCAAGAGGTGGATAAAGGTGACTTGCTTACCAAACATGGCATGCGTGCGAAGAACACAGGTCTACCGTCGGAAGGTCTGGGTCCGAGCCCAGCTGAGTCACTGATGAGCTCATCACGGAACTTCTTTGCTTTTAGTTTCCTCACCCAGAGATGGAGATCATTAGTCAAAGCAAGCCTTGCCTTCTTCTCAGAACTACTGGGGAAGTCGGGCGAACGGGGAAGCTGTAGGAAACTAGGAGAGTCGATCCAGAAGCCAGGTGGCCCTTGTACGTACACGTGTCTGAGAAAAAGCGCCGCCCGGGAACCTACCTGCAGCTACCCTTGCTCACACTAGCCCTATTTCCTCTTACTAAGAAGAGGATCCACTGGAATGCGAGGGACTTTTGTGAATCAGCTCTAGCAGAATGCGCACTGCTGGTCTGATGACACGTGACTGGCGGTCCGTCAGCCCTCTCTCGGTGCCCTAGGACAGTCACACAGGCCCTAACACTATTGCCTCATGTTTACCAGACCCTAACAAGGTGCTTGGCGAGCCCAGAACACTGAACACATTGTGAAGAGACAAAGGGAACCACCTCCCCACAGGACAACAGGTGTGGCAGGTGTGAGAAATGAGAGACGCGGCCACGGCCACGCGGACAAGAGCTGCTGACGCTCCTCTTCACGTGCCCCGGGCGCCCAGGTCTGCGCTGTGGGGAGGAGCCCCCTGAGGCCGGCTGGCTGTCCCCTGCGCTCCCTCCCATTTTCCACCCTGACATTCATCTATTCTAGAAGCCGGATAAGCCCCTTCACATTCTGACCAAAGGCCATCATATGGTTGAATAAATACAGGGATGATCAGAACAACCACAGATAATAATACATAAAACCAGTACCGAGAAAGCTCTTGTCAGAAGAGCCAGCACCGGGGAAGGCGCTATACAGAGCACCCCCGGGGCACACAGTCCAACGGGCTCAGCCTTGAGTGTGCGCCTGAACCGGCCGGAGTGCGTGAGAAAACACAGACACCAGGGTTTCGATTCGGTCTCAGATGCCAGCGCTGGTCCGTGCCCGTGCAGTTGAAAAATCACTGTCAGGGTAAACGAGCCAGAGCTGCCAGGCTGTCAGTCTCACTGGGGCGACTTCAGATCCTGATTCACCCACCCCCCCAACCCCCAACATGAGCCTTCGGGAAACTTGATGGGAACTGAACTGCCATCCGCCCTCTGCCGCTCCCGTCCCGTCCACACATCCGTGCTGCTGTGGATGACGACAACAAGCCACGCCGGATAAATATTTCCCAGGACCGAGTCCGGCTCTCACCTGTGCACAAGATGATTTTGCAAAAGGAGTGAGTCGTGCTGCAAAGCAAAGGACAGGGCGGCGCAGGAAGAAGCTCGGGGCTCCGGGGTCCAGGCCTCTGAGCCGGCGCACGGTCCCTCCATCCTCAGTGACGAGAGGGCCCCTGGGACGAGGCCAGTGAGACGCTGTGACCTGGTTTCTCCTCACCCGTGTATCCTGACACTCTGTCACCGTGCGCTGTGATTCCCATCCCCCAACCCCAACTTACTTCGTGTCACCAAACGGTCACGGGGCCAGCCTCACCCACAACCCCCCGGCGCAAAGGAAAGCAGCGAGCCCCCACCAGCAGCCACCACCTCCGGAGGAGTCCTGACCTGGAAGGGACCCTAAAAACATCTCTTTCCTTCCCAAAGCTGATTGCATTATACAGTTCACTATTTTATTAACAGCAGGAGTTACTGCTACAATAATATTGTTTCATTTTATGGGGGCTTAGCGGAAGTTCCTACAGAGAACTCTGCTGGGAATACCGCCAGCTCCGTGACAAGAGCCCGCCCCCCAGCCTCTCCTGCGGGTCAAGTGGGAAAATGTGGCAACTATTCACCCCACGTCCGTGTGGCCTCTGCTGACTATGGGACAGAAGAGGTTGCAGACATTTGGGGCCGCCACTGTGGGCCTGAAAGCCAGCTTCAGGCTAAATAAGGAGAAAGAATGAAGAGTGATTCATTCATGGCATTTTGGTAAATATACATCACGCATGTGTTTGCAAATACCTGGTGTTTAAGCTGATTTTGTGCACACAAATAGGCCTATTTAGGGAAACAAATGGCTTTCCCGCTCACACACACACACAAAAAATCCAACTAGCTCTTTCTCACATGCAAAACTGAGCTGTCGTCCCCAGGCTCTGAGGGCCTGGTGGGTATACACCCACGAAGACTTGAGTCAAACTCCAAAGCAGTAACACCAATACGACCTCCACTCACCCACAAACTACGAATTGGCCTCAGCTATACCACGTTCATGAAACCCGTCACAAGCCCAGGCAGCTGTATTCTGAAAACTATGGAGCAGAAGGAGACCTCAACGGCAGGTAACAATACTGTCTGGGGCCTCGAGGACACTGATGAAATACCCTTGCCCTCTTCCTCCCCCCCCCCCCCCACAAGGCCACTCTGCACGGACCCCAACACCTGTGGTGGTTCCGGTCCTCACCTGTTCTCCAGGAGCGTCATGCACACCACCTCTCGCACCCCGGGGTTGTTGGCCTTCTCCAGGGAACAGCCCTGCAAGTTCCACGTAGCCAGCCTCAGCACAGGCCGGCCGTCCCTGGTGCCTCCGAAGGCCTCCACCGAAGGCCGCGTGGAGATGATCTGAGTGGGCCCGCCGGGCGGCAGGTCCAGGTCCTCACTCTGCAGGCTCAGGGAGGTGGGGCTGGGGTGAGGCTTGGCGGTGAAGGTCAGGCCTCCGTTGGTGTGGGTGGACGGGGGCCGGGACCGCTCCGCGAACACCTGGTGCCGGATCCTGTCCAGGAAGGCGGCGTTGATGCCGTCCGTCTTCACCAGGTCCTCCACGCTGCGGAAGGGCCCGTGCTCCCGGCGGTAGTCCACGATGCTGGCGGCCATCTTCTCCGTGAGGCCTCGGACGCTCAGGAGCTGAGCCGGGGTGGCCGAGTTGATGTTGACGCGCGGGGTGAGGGGCATGGCCGTGGCCAGGTGGTGAGGCTGCTGCTCCGCCAGCAGGTCCCGCCGCGTGGAGCTGGGAGAGTGCTGCGCCGAGCTGCCCTTGCTGCTCACGCAGATCTCGAACTTGACCTGCTCGAGCTTGGTGGCGCCCACGCCGCTGACCAGGGCCAAGTCCTCCACCTTCTTGAAGCCGCCGATGTACTCGCGGTACTCCACGATGCTGCGCGCCACGGCCCTAGTCACCCCCGGCAGGGTCATCAGCTCCTCCTCCGTGGCCGTGTTGATGTTCAGCCGCTCCTGGTTCACCAGGATGTTGCTGAAGTTGCAGGCTGCGCTGAACTTGCGGCTGTGGGACAGGTCCGAGGGGTCCCGGGGAATGGAGCGGTGGCAGCCCAGGGTGCTGCCCATGACCGGCCTGGCCCAGGGGCCCCGGGAGGCCGCCCCGCCGCCGCAGAGGGACTCTCTGCCCGGGAAGGAAGCCCAGTAGACCTGGCAGGCACAGAAGGGCGTCCAACAGCAGCTGCCCCGTGGCCACCTGGAGATAAATGCATCAACACAAGTCAACGGAACCGGTTCATCCTTGCGCACTCGCTCCCCTACCCAGAGCTGAAGGTCTTCACCAGGAGCCCCAGCTGCCGGCTGCCCTTGGACCCCGAACCCGCACGGAGGCTGGCCGCCGTGGGTTCGCCTCTGGAGAGGTCCGGTTTTATCGCATTGGGACCCCAAAACGCCACCAGTCTTTTCTCTTGGGAAGAGACCTATCCCGCCCGCCCACACCTCCTGCTCCTGCCTGAATTCCGTCCGCACTAGTGCGTGCGGCGCGGGGGTGCTCATCGGCTCCCACCAGACCCGCCGCCTACCCCGCGCCCCACCTCTCGGCGCTCCCCTGGGGCGTCCTTCTTCCACCTGCGGCTCCACGGCCGGAGCCCAGCCCCGGACCGCGCTGGGGCCCTGCCTCAGCCCTGGCGCCCGCGCGGGTGCGAGTCGGGGCCGGGCCACGGGATCCCTCCCACGCCGCCGCGGGCCGCGCGCCCCGGCTCCTTCTGCGGGAGAAACTCTCCGAGTCGCTCTCCTAGAGCCGGCGGAGATGCAGGGCTGCGGGGAGGCAGCGAAGGCAGCGAAATCCGCCCGCCGCCCGCGGCTGCACCGTCTCGCGGCTGCACCGTCTCGCGGCTGCACCCGGGCTGGCGGCGTCACCGCAGTTGCGTTGATCCCAGAAAAAAGTCCTGCGCTCCACTCGCCCGCAGGATCCGCCAGAACCGCATCCAGCGTCCCGCACCAGCGCCCGGTCCCGCTCGCCGCCCTTGTCAAAGCCAAAGTCCGGGCCCCGCCGCCCGCGCCTCCGCCGGCACCACGGCCACGCCTCCCCGCGCGCGGCAACTCCTCCCCGGGACTCCCAGGGCACGTGGGGGCGGGGCCAGCGCGCGCGGCGGGGGCGGGGAGCGCGGAACCCCGGGGCGCGGGGGCGGAGCCCGGCAGTGAGAGAGGCGGGGCTCTGAGTGCGGGGGCGGATCCTGGAGCGCGGGGGCGGAGCCCGGGAGTGAGAGAGGCGGGGCTCTGAGTGCGGGGGCGGATCCTGGAGCACGGGGGCGGAGCCCGGGAGTGAGAGAGGCGGGGCTCTGAGTGCGGGGGCGGGGCCACGGGCGAGGGGGCTGGCCGAGCGTGTGAGGTTAGAGACCCAACTCGGGAGTGCGGAGGCGGAGCTATGGCGGGAGGGGCGGGCCTCGGGGCAGGGGGGGGCCTCAGAGGCGGGACTTAGGGCCTGAGGAGCGTGGCCTATGCCCTGTGGTTTGCAAAGAGTCACCTGAGGGCAGAGGGGGAGTTCCTGATCCTGACTTGGGGTTGCCACCCTAGTCCGAGGGCTGCTGTGCGGGTTGGAGGCTTAGTCTCTTCCCAGAGGTGAGGCCTGCGCAGCTGCTTTTGGCGGACGGAGCCCCACAAAGGAGAGGGGCGCCCAGGGACGGACACTACCTGGCCTCCAGCCGAGTTCAGCTCTCTCTGGGGCTTGGGGCAGAGCCAGGGCACTCCCAGGGAGTGCCCTGCAGTTAAACCTGAGGATGTTCGAGAGGGGACTGGATGGGATTTTTAAATTTTATTTTATTGATTTTTTTTACAGAGGAAGGGAGAGGGATAGAGAGTTAGAAACATTGATGAGAGAGAATCATCAATCGGCTGCCTCCTGCACACCTCCTACTGGGGATGTGCCTGCAACCAAGGTACATGCTCTTGACCGGAATAGAATCTGGGACCCTTGAGTCCGCAGGCCGACATTCTATCCACTGAGCCAAACTGGTTAGGGCTAGATGGGATCTTTTTAACTTCTGTCCCCTCACTTTCGGCCTCTTTTCTTCCGCTAGAAAGAAAATGCTCGTTGGAAATGAAGGCTGCTTCCCAAAATTCACAAGTTTTGGGGTCATACCACAAAATGACAGCGAGTTAGAGAGTAACGATCCTGCTGCATTACACTGGACACACCAAACTAGAGTATTCAATTAAACAAACCGCGTGGTGACCATTAAAAACGTTGACCCTGGTCCTTTAATGCTCTTGGAGGTCTCATCCGCAACCAGTGTCACTGCTTTCAAGTCCCAGGGCCAGGTCAGCAGAAACAGTCACCCTCAGGGAGACATGTGAAAGGAGAGGCAGCCAAGGCTGGCAAAATGCTACTGCCTTTGAGGTACAGTCCCCTAATGTGCGTACTAGCAGGGACTCTAAACTGCAAGTGACAGAAATCCCAGTCACACTACCTTAGACACAAAAGGCGGGTGTCTTGGTTCTTGCGAGGAAAAGTTAAGGAGTAGATCCCTCCTCAAGCATGGCTGCACCCAGCTCAAATGATGCCGTCAGGACCTGCTCCCACCCACTCCATCTATCAATTTCCACTTGCCCCCCCCCCATGCTACACTACATTGTGCCCCTCCCTTCCTCCTGTAACTCGGTTGAAGTAAGAAAAAAATTAAGACAAGCAGGAGGATCCCTTTTAGAGGAGGGAAAAGTCTTTGTGGAACAGAATGCCGTGCTGAGCTTTTGTGGCTGTGGGTGGGCAGCCTGGGGTCATGGCTAGTTGGATTAGAAGTAGAGAAACCACATATTTTATGTCCAAACCAGGATGCTTTGTGGGTAAGAAGGCCACTGTTAACTTCACTGGCACAACAGGCATGGTCTGGTCGCATTCCCCGTAAAGCTGAGCATGCGCTCCCTTTGGTAGAAATGAAACCAAGAGGTAACTCAACTGTTGTGCATTCAAATAAACAAAACCCAATGAAGGGTTAAATTTTAAACGCCATAGCAAGTGTTGTGGAGCAGTTGAAACTCTCATGCGTTGCTAGTGGGGGTGTAAGATGGTACAGCCACTTTGGAAATCAGTTTGGCAGTTTCTTAAAAAGTTAAACATATATTCGCCATTCGATCCAACCATTTCATTCCTAGATACTTAGCCAAAGAGGAAGGAAAGCATGAAATTCAAAGACTTGTACGTGACTGTTCCTAGGAGATTTACTTGTTAGAGGTAAAATCCAGAAACAACCCCAATCCACCACAAATTGTGGTAACACTGTACAATGGAGTACAATGGAGCAATAAAGAAGACTATTAATATAGACAACACTGAAGAATCTCAAAATCATACTGAATCAAAGAAGACAGGCCAAGAGAAAAGAGAAAGAACATAATGTGTGATTCCATTTATACAAAACTCCAGAAAATACAAGCTAATCTGCAGAGAGAGGAAGATCAGCAGATGGTTGGAAATGCAATGGAGGGAGGCTTGGATGAAAAGGAACATGGGAAATTTGGGGGAGGGGAGGTGGAGATGGAAATGTTTGCAAGGTCATGGTTTCATGGGTATAAGTATGTCAAAACTGATAGAATTGTACACTTAAATATTTGAGGTTTAGTATACTTCAATTTACCTCAATAAAGTTGGGGAAAATCTTCAAAAAGTAAAAAGGAATTCTCTTTGAGCCTAAAAAAAAGAGATGTATTTATTTTGGGGAGGAGTAAGTGACTGAGAGTGGAGAGGAGGGGTTGACAGGGAGCAAAGGATGCCCAAGAAGTTGAGTCTGGAGCTAACAAGGGTCCAACAGTCATCTCATTAACATAAAAGACACCTTTATCACTCTCAACACATAAACTCCAAGTGTTTGGGGAGTTGTGAGCCAGCAACTATGGATGAAAACCAAATATTTTATAAAGCACAGTGTTGCAGTGGATTATAGAAACCGATATTTTCCTTATTAGCAATTAAAACCATAGGATTGATGCTTTGTTCCCCTTCAGTCATGTCTTGTTAAGGTAAATTTTATCCTGTCTGGCTAAAGTGATAGAGAGCAAGCCACATAACCAGACACCTGGAGAGGAGGAGCAGCGACACGTGCAGCTCACTCCTGTCCAAAGAGCAGCAGCTGTGCAAGCAGCCCACCCCAATCCAAGGAGCAGCAGACTTGCAATCAACCTGCCCAAGTCCAAGGAGCAGTAGCCCCACAAGCAGCCCACCACATCAGAGGAACAACAGCAGCATGCAGCCAGTCCCCATTCAAGGAACAGCAGCCATGTGAGCAGTCTGCCCCAGTTCAAGGAGTAGCAGCTGCGTGTGTAGCCTGCCCCCATCCAAGGAACAGCAGCCTCGTGATCAGCATACCCTCTGTCTGAGGAACAGCAGCTGTGTGAGAAGCCTCCCCCCACCAGCCAGAGGAGCCACCATGGCTGTGAACAGCACCCACCAGAGGAACTGCTGCCAACTAAGGAGCAACTGCTACCACAACCACCCGAGGAGCAACTGCAGCCCAAGGAGCCACAGCCACCCAAGGAGCAGCCCCTGAACGACTCAACATCTAGATCTGTTGGTGAGATCAAACATGGGTAGACAAAGAAACCCCCAAAGGAAAGAAGTTGAGGACTCACCGGAAAAGCAGCTAAGTGAAACAGAGGATGCAACATGTCAGAAAAAGAGGAGAAATCAAGGTGGCGGCATAGGTAAACACTGGAGTTTGCTGCCTCGAACAACCACTTCAAAAATACAACTAAAAGACAGAACGGACATTGTCCAGAACCACAGGAAGGCTGGCTGAGTGGAAGTTCTACAACTAGGAGAAAAGAGTAAAACATACCGAGACTCAGAGGAGGCGCAGTGCTGAAGTAAAATACTAAGGTGCAGAGTGCATGCGGAGCGGGCTGGCGGCTGAGGGCGTGGTTGTTGTTTTCAATCGGGAGGGATCTCAGACTCTGAGCTCCAGCTCCGGGCGAGTCTCTAGGGACCCAGAATCATACGGGAGAAGCGGGACTGTCTGGCATCATTCAGAACCCTAGGGCAGCTTTCTCTCCGTGGGGTTTGCAGCAATTACTGGGACACTGAGAAGCAGAGCCTCTGAGGGCAAGACTGAGAGCAGCCATAATTGCTAACCCCACCCTGTTGATCCCGTGGGACCTGCCCCGCCCAAGCCCTGCAGGGAGACTTTTGCTGGATAGCCTCAGGCAAAGGCTAGATTAGCACCTCCCTAGAGATCCAGGAGCCAGGAAGCCCAGAGGTCAGAGTGGGACCATCCAGTTTGCAGCTCTGTGGAACCGTAAAAGACACACTCAGGGGGAAGACTCAGTGAGCACCAAAGCCCCATTGAAGCAAGTCTAGCCCCAGAGGGGTGTCTCCAGCACAGAAGTTCTCCTACTGCAGACACAGCTGATTCTCACAGCCAATTGGCCTGGAGGTCAATTCCTCACAGTGATAACTACAACAATCAAGGCTTAATTACATCAAGACTGTGCACAAAGCCCACAAGGGGGTGCACCAAGAGTGTCTACCTCAGGTAATTGGGACACTTA